CTGCGACCCCGATACAATAATAAAATCAACGCAGCCAGGAACGGGTTTCGATCGCGGTATGTTGGAATTACGAGCCGGACTCGCAACGCCTAAGCCACGGAGGCCGCTTATTGGAATGTGTATTTTACAATTTATTCTTTGTTCTGTTTTAACTCTAACGCATAATCAGTACTCATTCGTGGGTCTCAGACAGTGAGATTGACTGAAACAATCATTACTATAAACCAGAAAATCCAATCGTCTATCTGTCTGTACATTTTCAGTAAAGTCCTCCCAAACGATGACCAATAGACGGGTTAAATTTGCAGGTGCTATTATGACCGAACTGTCGAGTTTAACAGTGAAACTGGTTGTAATGTTTATGCACATTTCTGCTAATTACCGTCACAATCACTAAAAATTAACTTTGACTGACTGACTGACTTTCTACCCCACTAGGACATTACACAAGCGATAAACACCCGATGACACAAAGGGCCACCATGTGGATGAGGATCGCCGTGGAGAGGTCCCAGAAACCGCGTTCAGACAATTGGCCATATTTATGGCCTGCCTATATTGCGGTCCCTGGCAAAAGCCAGGGTGGCGCTTCAAATAACAAAAAATGTCGTCCTTAAAAGGACGAAACACGTATAACTTTTCAATCGTATAATATATAAATTAACTTTTGCAGGAGTTACTTCCCTTTAAGTATCGCTTTAGTTAAGGACATTTAGCCTCAAAATATTATAAATAATAAATTAATTGGACAAAATAAAAATTTTGATGGGTGACCTAAAAACCAAGAAAGGATCAGATAACACAGGTTATGAAGAAATTACAGGAACACATGGACTAGGAGCGATAGATAAAACTGAAAATTATTCACCAGATTTTGTGCAGGGAACCAGAATTATATTCGTGGCAGCCTTTTTCCACGTAAAAGAATACACAAATCAACATTGGAATCACTAGACCAGAAAACAACCAATCAACCATAAATTTATAAATTAATAAAAAATTAAAACATCCTGGTATGATGTTAGGTTTTCAAAGGTACCGATGAATTAACTGACAATTTTCTGTTGTGGGGTAAAATCAAGTTAAAACTCAAAAAATAAACATCATGGAAACCAGAACAATGTAGGATAACTTGGGGATAAAAAGAGTTAAGGAATACTTGTAAATTACAGTCTCTAATAAGTACCAGGTGTTGCCAGATGAGATTAAAGAATGATGCTTCCAAACATAGGCTCCAAAAAGTTTGTATCAGCTGATGTGCCGATGAGGATCTTGAGGTATCAATGAGTGTTGATCTTGAGGTATCGTAGGCTTCTCGTACTGTAGTTTTCTACCAAATGTTTTGCCACGCTTGATAGTGTTTTGCTTTGACACACATACCAAGTGCCAGAGCTGCTGTCCTTTTGATCTCGGTTTCCAGTCAACACACTACCCGGTGTTGTAACTGTCTTTGTACTTTTTGAAAGCAGATTCAACTGGAAGGATCTGGTGTCGACACTTTCTTGTGTTGCTTGGTGCAGATTGCCCACTGCACTTCACACACTACTAGTCGGCAACAAATTTTGAATAATCAACAGGGCTTTAGAACTGCTGTAGAGGGACAGCCCTAGTCTCACGTCATCCATGCGTAGACTTACTGTTAATTTTACCTTGCTACCATAGATGACTGCTCATTGCCACTATCTATAATATTTATGTTGCTTTCTGTTGACGGGTGGCCGAAAGTTTGAATCGTGGACTTATCTACCAGCATTCGTAGCCTGGAATTTGTTCAAGCGTCGTTCACTCTGTAAACAATCGGACATGGGGTGTTGCTAGTTCGCCTTCAATCTTTCACGCTTACGTTCCTTTCGAACTGGTACTACCCGATGACAGGGTGATAGCTAATCTCAGTTCCAATGTTCAAGACTTCACTGTCCGATACAATTTTCCCATCCTCTATTGTTTGAACGCAGTTCCCATTCATGCGATGACTTTCTTTTGTCTTCTTCTGGCTCTAGTCATTGCACGCTTCCATTCACAGATTGACAAGAAACGAGAAAACATGGACGCTGGCGAACGATCCAAATTACACGTTTATTTGGTCACTCGCTGGTACTGCCGCCAGTAAATGTTAATGGACAGCATAGTCACTCATATCTACCCTCACTTATCTAACATGTCAACTTTACCTTATAACAAACATATCTTCAATCCAACAACTGAATGAACAACAGCGATTCCATCCAATCAAAACACAAACATTCTCAGCTGGCTACGACTTCCGTTCGCCGCTACTGATGGCCAGGTAGGCGTTGGAAAACACTGTGCAGACACGTCGGACTTAAACACTCTTTCTGGATTCCGCAGACACTCCATCATACAATTCACGTGAAGTTAGACTTATCAGCAATTCACGTGATTTCCCAGTTAGACTCAAAATATTCCACTCACATTTATTACTGACGTCATTCCGTCTAAGCATAATTTATCTAGGAGAAAATGAGATTCACTACAGTACTATACTATGAAATGACAAAAGAAAGTCTAAACTTCTCTCCCATTGTCTGTGTATGTATATATATATTAGGGCTGTACCGAATATTCGCTTCGTATTCGCTTCGCGGCCGAATAGTGGACCTAATAACTATTCAGTATTCGAATACGAATAGTGATTACCTTATACCCGTTTCTGGACTGGTGGAAAATAAATATATCAAGATTTCCCAGCTTGGCTCATACTGTCAAGCGCTATCTTTGTGCACCACCTACGAGCGTACCAAGAGAACGTCTGTTTAGAACAGCTTGAAATACCTTCAGTGAGACAGGAAGCTCCCTTAATCCTGACAACATGGAACGATTAATTTTTTTTTTTTTTTTTATATGCTGCTTTCATGGATTAACTAAGCTGTCAGTGACAATTTACCAGTTTAGTTACTTGTTATAAAACTAAGAATACTTTCATTCATATGTATTAGTTACCACTGACTGACTTAATGCAAAACATGAAATGTTTTTAAATGTTTACTATTCTGTACTACATTTTGTGAAGTAAAATTTCAGCGCACATTTGACATTATGGATGTTTTTTTCTTAATATATCTATTTTATACACGAAAGTTTGAATAGTGGGAAGACATAAGTAATGGTGGTATCAAAGAAAATTATTATTCCTAAATGTATAATAAAAGTCAATGGTTTTATTTTGGGACAAGTACAGAAATTTAGGTATCTGGGCGAATGGATAACATCAGATGGAAGATGCATTACTGAAATAAGAAACAGAATAGGACAGACAAAAACTGTATTTAAAAAAATGAAGAACATCTTATGCAATATATTTTTGTCATTAAAGGTTAGAAAAAGAATATTTGCTTGCTACATATATCCAGTTTTAACATATGGCTGTAAGTTCTGGACAATCGGTAGGCAGGCCAAACAATTTCTTGAGGCCTCAGAGATGTGGTTTTACAGAACAATGCTTAAAATACCTTAGACAGCAACAACAACAACAAAAAAGCAACTAAGATGGTTTTAATAGAGGCTGGAGCCCGAAGACAATTACTCACAAACATCAGAAGGAGACAGTCATCATTTTTCAGCCATGTTATGAGAAGAGGGAAAATAGAACATGTTGTGACCAATGGAAAGATCTGTGGAAAGAGGGATAGAGGGAGGTAAGAGAAGATTCTTGACAGTCTTGTTGCATGTTGCATGGAGGTGTGTCAGCACACGAACTAATACATGCTGCAGGAGATCGCAGATTGTGGCGAGGCATAATCCCCCATGCCAGTCGGCAAAGCACCTGATGATGATGATTCACTATTCGTATTCGTATTCGGCCGAATAGTTGGTCCAGCTATTCGTATTTGGCCGAATAGTTAAAAATCACTATTCGGTACAGCCCTAATATATATATATATATATATATATATATATATATATATATATATATATATATATATATATACACACACACACACACACACACACACACACACACACACGCACCTTGCGGTAAATTTGCCTTCTGTCTCGTGTATTGTCAATAATTTATGACAGTGTTTCCTAAACTTGTCTTAGTCGCAGTCCCTTTTTTCAATTAAAATTTTTCCCCACGGCGCCCCAACCCAGGTAAAAGTATGACTATTCGTATGTAGGAGATCAAAACAAATCAAACGTGTATCTTTGAATATTTTGCGGCGCCCAAGCCAAGAGGTCGCGGTTCCCCGTGGTGCACAGTTTGGGAATTACTGATTTATGATACAGAAATTCTGTCATGCAAGGACACAACCCCCCTCTCTCTCTCTCTCTCTCTCTCTCTCTCTCTCTCTCTTTGTGTGTGTGTGTGTGTGTGTCTGTGCGCGCGTGTGTGTGTCTCTTGAAATAGATACTCATGGTGTAAAGAGATTGGTACAGGGAGGAGTGACATTGGCCGACAGTCGACACTCGCTCGAGGAAAAGGCAGTACTGACACACAATCAGACGGTTACTGATACCACCAGAACCGGAACTCTGTGCTTGCTGCTGAAGATGGATACAGAGTACTTATGGGACTGTCCTGTTTGCTAACATGTTTTTTCTTTACTTTACTGATCTTAAATCAATGCAAAGCAGGTGCATCTTTACAAGCTTCAATATCTCAGACATGTTAAGCAGTACGGGGCGCTTATGGGAATGCCCCGAGTGATGTTATGTTGGTTCTTAAATCAACTCAACTCAACTCAATTCATCTCAACTCAACTCAACTCAACTCATATGTTAGCAGTCGAAACATAGACAATAATAATATATACGAGGAACATTAATGCTGAGCATTTTGACCTTCTATTTGAAGAAAACGAATCACATTATGAATTTCACAGCTAGCGGGGAAAGGCAGTGATAGTGCTCGTACTTATTCAAATGCGACTGAAGGTTGGTGTTTAGTGAGTTTCAATGCTACTGAATAATGCAAGCAATGAACGGTGTCGTTATGGCAACCGTTTTTTAAACCAGCCAATCGGAGGTTTATTTATGAATAGCCCTCATAGCTGGACTATATTTGCACAGAAACTCACAGATACACAGCATCTGCGACCGGGTCGGAACAGTATTTGGGTCTGTATCCCTTGATCGCATCAACGCTGCATGAGTCAATTCCTGGGCTATTTGGTGACGAGCAATGTTACGCCATTCTAACATGACGCATATTAACCCAAGTGACAGATATATTTAAAAGCTCCCCCTTCGGGGATGTTGGCTTAACAAGGCGATTTTTATGTTTTTCTTCTCAAAAACGAATCGGATCAGAAACGGGCACACAGAGATTAAAATGGCATTTTGTCTAGGAAAAATTGAGACCGGGGGGGGGGGGGGGGGAAGAGGACGTTAAGGGAACTAATCATAGCTGAAGAGCATAATAATAATATTTATACAGTTAAACCTCGCTAACACGGAATCGCTTGAGATTAACACTCGGTTACCATTAACAAAAAGAACAGTGAACGCAGACAAGGACCCTCCAAAAATGATACTAAGACATCTTGGATATTTCCCTACTCACCATTGCCGCTCTGGACGTCCGGGGATACTCCAAGATCAGCCATACCGTCCACTGGACCTTCGTCCAACCTTTCAAGGCATTGAGGTCAACATCGACGGCCTGGCTCCGAAGGCTGTGGTTAAATGAATCCAGAATGTTCTGGTTTTCTATGTAGGACCGGTAATGCCTCCAACAGCAGGCTTTGATCTCCAGTTCGTTGATCTGCCAGAAGTCTAGCTCCCGTTTGACCACAGCCCCACAGACTTCCAGAGGGACATGGAGCTCACCTGCCCAGAGAAATAAAAATAAATCAGTTAGTTGTTTGTCCTTTAGCTCCTGCTGCCTCTAGCAGTGAACCACGTATGCTTAGCTTAGTATGCCTGTTTGTATCAATGCAGCATATTGTGTGTTATTATTTATTTAATTTTTGGTCTTGATATGCAAAATAAATCTGGCAAAAAATGTAACGTTCAACACAGTCTGTGGTGCATCTTTGAAAGTCATATCCTGATGGCTTTTCCCTACTTTGATTAAATAAATATTACATTCAACACATTCAACACAGTCCGTGGTGCATCTTTGAAAGTCCTATGCTGATGGCTTTTTTCCCCACTATGATTATCGTACCTATGTGGGTTTCTTCTCTGGGACTTAAAGAGTTAGAGGACGTTGCAAACCAACACTAGCTGTGGAGGGAAGGAGGGGGATGGATGCTTTTGATTTTGCTAGTCAATTTTACGCTGCGTAGTTTGCCATTGCTGTATGATTGTCTATAGATGCCCCCGTAAAAACTAATGCAAGTAAAAGAACACATACACTTAAACTAAAACCTTCCGTCTGCAACAACCGAGCATAGACAGCCAGAAACAATAAATGAAAACCAAAATTATCATTACAAATGCGTTAATATTTACATTTCCCGATCCCCATCGGCTCTTAAAACCTTTCATAGTTTACATCTCGCTTCCTGCAAAAGAACGAAGTCGCCACATTCAAAGAGATGACTCCACACAAGCGGCTTGGACACAAGATGTGCTTGCATGACAAGTCGTGACAAGTTAAGTCCACTTCATTTTAAAACTCTCATCTGCATAAACAACGACCGCCAGCCATTTCTTTCACAAAATATCCATATTCTGTTGCAATTCTTTTTCTTCTGGTTTTTTTTTTAAAAATTACATCAGCAACTATATTTTATTATTCTCTCGTTTTGCAACAGCGCAGAAAAACATTGGAATATCGTATTTCTCGTGAGATCTTCGAGGCAGACAAACGGGCCAGGTTGGCTGATATATAAATCGGTATTTAAACTTGTTTTCTTCCAGGAATCTGACGGTAGCAGATGCATATGACACTGTCTTTCTCTTCCAGTCGTAGAATTGTTTTGGGAATTGGCACTAAATTGCTACAAATATCTGGTTCTTAACTGTCAAATGCGAAAGATGCGAGAGAAAAAAAAAAATAAGAATTTGAAATTCATCATCATCATCAGGTGCCTTGCTGACTAGCGTGGGCGATCATATCTCTCCATAATCTGCGATCTCCTGCAGCATGTATCAGTTCGTGTGCCGACACACCTCCATGCCATGCAACAAGACTGTCAAGAATCTTCTCTCGTTGTCTTCCTCTATCCCTCTTTCCACAGATCTTTCCAGTGGTCACAACATATTCTATTTTCCCTCTTCTCATAACATAGCCGAAAAATGATGACTGACTCCTTCTGGTGTCTGTGATTAAGTTTTCTTAGGGCTCCCGTCTCTTTCAAAACCTCTTGTGTGTCTTTTTGGCAGTCCCAGGTATTCTAAGCATTCTTCTGTAAAACCACATCTCTGAGGCCTCAAGAAATAGTTTGGCCTGCCTACCGATAATTTGAAATTAGAATCATCAAATCCCCCGTGTGGGTTCCGGTGCCCTACTATGGGAAAAACAAGAATAGACCCACTGCCTACCCAAGAGCATGTCGTAAGAGCCGACTAATTGGGAGCTTCCTTCGAAGTCAGA